AAAAAAGGCCACAGCTATTGGCTCAGACAATTTCAGTGACCATAAAATTAAGTAAATAAAACTATTCAGGAAGTGTCTATTTTTTAGAGAGGTGGAGAAAAACAACTGGAAGAGATTTCTGAAGACCGGGATGGAGTCACCAACATTTAGAATCTTTACATGAAGTGGGAGCATGTGTTGCTTAAAAGTCAGTCTCTGTCTCAAAAAGAGTTTGTCACACTCAACACGGGAACCACATGGAGATGCTTTCCAGTTTGTGCCTTGCAAATGGACACAGATGATCCTAATACATGGCGATAACCCATACATGGTTTGCTAGCAGGAAAAGACCAGTCAAACACACTCTCCTCAGGCCAAGCTTGTCTCGGTTCTCCCTTCATCACCTCCCTTTGGGAGTGCCCATGCCAAATACATGTCAGTAGAAGGTCAAAGCTAGTCCTCGTTCCTACATAAATACTGTTCTACTGTCTTTCAGGATGTTTTTAACAGTATTGTGGTGTCAGGCCATGTTATATTAAAACAACGCAAAATATGTCTTAAGATGTTTTAACGGTTGAGGCAAGGCAAGGGCAGAGTGTGGTCTGGACCAGCAGAGCATGACTGAAGCAGATGATAGACTAATTCTGATAGATATCTTTGCAGATGCTCTTCCTGTGAAGAATAATCTAATTGTCTTGGAACAGATTATGCTGACTTGGAATAAGGCACTTAGAGGAACACATGTTCACAGGAGCCAAAACAGTTTGGATTTCCTGGAATTCCCCTATTTGGAGAGGAAGAGATAGCCTGCTAAGGAATGATTAAAGTGATAGGTTGCAAGAGACTAGACTAGAGACTAGGCTAGCAGCGCACCAGTGTCTCTGATGGTGCCTGAGGGGACTAGCAGGGAACTTGTCTATCTGAGCATGGAGCTGGATAGTCAATATGTTTTGGGGAGACAGAGACTGCAATGACCTGAATTCTTTTATTTTTCCAAATGCAGAAAAGTCTGATCTTGTAGGACATTTCTTATTTTTGACAGGTCTCAGGCAAGGATAATCCACTGCTTACCTTCATTCTACCCACATGCTAATCTTTCCAGGATGAGAGCTTGAGTGTGTTGATCTCATGGCAGTCTACGAAGTCCTTGGGATAACTGCTGACCTTGAACATGTCCTTGGGCACCTTTTTGATACGAGTGTTGTCACAGATCAGCTTTGACAGGGAGACTTTTTCTAGAGCATTCATCTGCTGTGGAGTGAAAACTCCTGGGTTCTCCCACCAGAATCTGCAATGATATTTTCAGAAGCATTTCATAGTCACTTTGAAGGCACTTGGTGCTGGCTATTTGATAAGACGAAACTCTGTCCAAGGTGAATCCCTGCTCAGATCCACTTTGAATCATCAAGCACTATGTGCACACATTTGAAAAAGTAGCTCCAGGAAGATCTCAGCCAGATTTGGATTCTTCCACGCTCATCGTCAGGGAAGAGAGCCCACCTCTTTTACATAGCCTCACAGAGGACATAATGACTGATCCTCCCCATCAGTATCCTAAGACCAAATGTCACCTCAGACAAGAGCAACTTTGGCTTATCCATGGCAGCCCAACTATATGTGTCTGTAAGTAGGGGCTGCAACTATAGAGCATGATGGCAGCTGGGACTAAAACCAAAGTGTGAGTCTTCCTGGGAGGTGGACTGGATCAATGTGTAGCATAAACTGTGACCATTTTTTATCACAGCAAATGGTTTGCTCTTAGAGCTGCCTACCTGTCCCCATCACGAAGATTCCTGAATTGGGTAGCAATGATGCAGGTGAGAAGAGGACCAACTCTGCCCTGGGGAACAAAAGGCTCTATGATTGCCCCAATCCAGAGGTCAATGTTTGCTGGGTTCCCATACAGATCTATTAACTTTTCAGCCAGCTTGGAATTGCGTAGCACCTCAGCGAGTTCATTCACATTTTGAGGTTGGGAGAGCCCACAGAAGTGCCTCCAGGCATTGTAACCTGAAAAAGCAGAATGGCAGCTGCTCAGCATCCTTGTCTGCCCACTGTCTGCCTAGACTTGGGAGCTTAACGGACCTCTTGGCCCACGGACAATGCCTGCTTCATCCCATGTCACTAGAGGATTGGGGAGACATTATTGCCAAAGCAGGCACTGTCAAAACATATGTTCTTTTCAAAGATTATTTTTGTATGCTCACATTAAAATAACAATCTGGTCTGTCTTTACACATGATTGAGGTTCAGCACATTGTAAATGTTAAAACTATCT